TCGATGCCTCGTCGATACGAGATCTTGAGGCAATAAGAAGAGTATGGTGGAATCCAATGCACAACATGGACCAACACATTTGGAAGATGTTAGTAAGATGGAGGGAGTTGAGACAACTAGTCCATATGGTCACTGGTTGTCGAGCCACCTGCCTTCTTATTGAGATCGTAACAAAAGAGTGGCTAGAGGTGGCCGAATCGATTTATAATTACTTATGGGAGGTTGCTATGCCTACTTTACCTCGAGAGATTGATTATGAGGCTTTCTGCGCAAAGCTAATTGAGCAGTTGGAACTGGGCTGACTTGCAATCTCCGAGGACGATAGTGTACCTATCGAGATGCACATTCGTGAAGATGCACCTCCACCTATTTCAGATGTTGAGGCTTAGTTCCTAAGAAACATAGGATTCATGGAGGTTGGATTGAGGATGATGATGACAATAATGAATAAAGTAGCAAATTTTAGTAGTTTTAAACTGATTTAATTGTTGTCGATGTTTAGTAGGAGTTCTTTTATGATTCGGTGGACTAGTGCCAGACGCTCTTTTAATATTTTGTATTCCTCCTAAAGGATTCTTATAAGATAATAATAAAAGATGTTGAGCTATAAATCTTTTGTTCTAAGTTGAGCAAATATCGTTGACTTCTCTAAGTGAGATCGCAATTATTCTGGTATATAGGAATATGGCACAAGCGAGGACAATTAGGCATAGGGTGGGATGGTGTAGAGTAGTTCCATGTAACACAACTAGAAAAGATTTTCAATTTTCAAAATTTTTTTATGGGTGGGATGAGTTGGTTCCGTTGGGTCGAGCGTAATATTCAGAAGAAGTTTTCAATTTCTAAAAATTTTCAAGGGTAGGAATGGTGGTGGGGGAGAAATATAATGTATGTCAATTGTATATATGTTTAAAATATATTATATAGAGAGAAATAAATAATTGATATATTTATTAGATATATATTATATATGGAAAATTGCAGCAACGGTTCCTAACCTTTCACTTTTTTATAGACCTTACTGTAACCTACACTTTGTGACTTACAATCTCAAACCTTTCAAAAATATGTATCTAGGGTTCACATGGATGACCTTTAGTTGACTAGAAAAGTCAAAATTTAATCAATTCAGACCAAATTAAAAAGGGTATAATTGTACTTTGTATTTTTCTAAATTTTAACAATTAAAAAATTAAAATAAAAACAAAAGAAAAGTAAAAAGTCTTCTACCAATCCCAAACCCTACCCCCAAACCCATCTTTCCTGCCGACTCCTTCATCTCTTCGCCGGAAAACACCAACCCAATGCCACCACAACCAGTCACCCCACCACAACCTCTACCCTTCATCGCAATCGTCATTTGATAAAACTCGTTTCTATTGTTGCTGTGATTTTTCCCAGGCAAAATTCAGATCTCTTGTGAACAACAAATAATATTTTATAAAAATAATTTTATTTTATCACTAAGGTTTTAGTCGTCTCACTCCCTTTCCCTCTTACGAGCTGTACAACCTCAAGCTCAACCGATATGGAGCAATATATTAAAGCAGCAACCCTAGAACCCACCTCCTCCGCCTGCATCGCAACTATTCTCTCCCATAATCAACAATCCACAACACGGGGTTATGGTAGGGAGTTGCAATTCTCGAAAGGGAATAATGGTAGTGGTGGTCGACACCAATGACATAATCTAAGTCGCACAAGGGGCTATCACTCTTGGCCGATCGATTTGTGTCCATCCCTGAGTCATTGCTAAAATACGAGACCCCACTTTGTGTCACTCCCTCAATTTCCTTTCATTCTCTATTAACACTCTTGAACCCTGTTTAGATGTCCTAAGAAAAGGTAAGGTATTAGTCAATATATTGCAATTTGAGAAGCTTATACAACCTTACCAAAATTTAATTTATGTGAGTGGCGACGGTGGCATTGCCGACCACGGTATGGGTAGACAAGAAAGAGGAGGAAGGGTGGTTGGTGGATATTTTGAAATATATTATAATTGTATTTTTTTATTATTTTGTTTAAATTAATTATTATAAGGGATAAATGGGAATTAATAGCAAAAGTACCATTTCGCCCTTTTTAATTGGTCAACTAATGGTCAAACCATCCATGTGGACCTCAGATGCATATATTTGAAAGGTTTGGGATTGTAAGTGACCTAAAGTGAAGGTTAGAGTAAAGTCTACAAAGAAGTGAAATGTTAGGGACCACTGTTGCAATTTTCCCTATTAAATATTATTAATTGGATTTAACAACAGAATTTTGAAGAAGTTTGATTGGTTTGTTAGTTTTGAAATGTGAGAGTTATAATGTAGTGGTTATATATTGTTTCCAATTTATTTTCAATTATACATTTTTTCAATAAAATAATTTTAAACGTGAATCCATAACTTTTATCTACTTTTAATTATACATTTTTCAGATACAAAATCAATTCTAAAAAGTGGAAATTACATCTGCACATGTTTTCCAAGTTTCTAATTCAAGAATCAGAATTAAAGTTTTTTATTCAAAAGAAAAAGGTTATAATTCAAATTTTTAATATTAATAATAATACTATAAAATTGAATTGAATTAATTCACATACCCACCACACCTCCTTTCACCCCCACCAAATTTCATTACAAGCCCTAATCTCTCTATCCTCTCCCTGTCCTCTTCTTTATTTTTATCACACACCATCACAGAGGCAAGTCGGAGCAACACTCACGATGGCCTCATTCTGAAGCAATAAGGGCAAGGGCCAACGCGCATCGGTGCTATACGACAGTGATTATCTATTGCAGCACATCCACTGCCTAGTGGTAGATCAGGTGATGATGATCTGCCATAGCAGCAGTCGCTGTACAACAGCAGATTAGGCGTCAATGAATAGCGATATCACTATCTACTCGATTTTTTTGAATTGTATCTTTCTGATTTGCTCCTTAGTCAATGTTTTGTGTGGTTTGTTGGTCATGGTTGATGGTTTTCAAATGGTGGTCGCGTAGGAGGTAGTGGCGCTGTTCCTTACGACGATCTGTACCAATGAGGCATCGAAGGTGCAGCAACTACGCAATGCAACGCAACGACGATCTGAAAATTTCTCCGATTTGTAATGTTTTACCAATTTGTGGTGTTTCTCTGAAGTGATTTGGCTTCAATTTTTGTTAGTGGTGATAGTGGTAGATTTGGCGATCGTGGTGGGTTTTGTTTGATTGATGGTGGTGGATCTGACAATGTTTGATAGATCTAGTGGTAATTATTTGAGATTGTGACCAATAATTGACCTCTAAATGATAATTTGTAAGCGTGACTTATAAAATTTGTGATTTGTAATTTATAAATGAATTGTGACTAACTGATTTTATAATTTGTGATCGATAAATAAATTGTGATCTATGAATTTTTTTGATTTGTGACCTATGAATTTTTTGATTTATAATCATGAAATAACTTGTGACAAACTAATTTGATAATATGTGATCAATAAATAATTTGTAACATATAAGTACGTACATGTGACTATTAATTGTATAATGTCATATCAATATATTTAATTAATAAAATATTTTTAATTATTTATTTATCAAGTGAATTTTGAAATTTGAAATTTAAAACCTGAAAATTAAAGTGGCCCATAATTAATACCCGAGTTGTGAATTTTTTCCTTCTAAGAATATTTATATCAAACATAACCTTAAGACCCATGTTTCAAGTACTCCAATCCGAGCACCATTTGATTGTAACTAACAAATACTCTATAAAAAGACAAGGCCAAGAACGCTAATATAACTCAGTTTTTGAATGAAAATATTCCAAATATTGGCCCAATTATACCCATTAAGAAGAAGTCTATTGTTACTTTTCAATTAGGCCCAAAATCGTTGATGAAATAGTCCACATTTGGGCATCTCCAGTTCTTGAAGCATCAAAGAACAGATTTCGTCATTTTGCTTACAGATCAAATCCTCAATCAGCTGCATACAGGTAAAATCACTACGAGTTTATTTTCGGCTTTTGCATATGTCAAATTCGGATTTCGAAGAGAAATTTATTTCATTTTTATGCATAAATTTCCTCGGATTCTTACATGTAAAAGATCTAGGGTTTTAAATTCTAATACGTACTGACTTAACTAAAATAATTCACTTTGAATCTGAATTTGTGAACAACGAAATATTAACTCAAGGTTTAATATGATTCTCTAGGGATTTTAATTTAGTTACTTCACTTGAATCGAATTTCCAGCAAAATTTTAGAAATTTTTTTTTGTATTTTTCATATAGAGATTTAACGACTAAATCTAACATATACACTTTTGCAGCATAAATAGATGGGGTTTATAATGGAGTTTGCGGAAAATTTGATACTTCGGCTGATGGAGGATCCTAAGGAGAGGGACAAGAAGTTTAGGGAGCATTTGTACAATTTGAAGGACAGATGCCAGAAGACCAAGGAAATGTGGAGCCTGCCTCTGCGTCCTTACGGCTTCTGGAATTTTGATCGCCATAATGCACAAATTTTTTGGGATTCTCAGATTAGTCAAGTTCCAGGTCGCCGTGACCCCTATGATGACCTCCTCCAGGACCCTTACATTGATACTACTGCTTCCTCTTCCTCCTCAAAGTAATTGGTGAGTTTCTTCCTATTTCATGACGTGGCCCAATTGTGGGTTTGTGCATATGTGTTCTGTGAATTTGTAGTTTTTAGGAGTTAGGACTATTTGTCATCATTTTGGATTTCTTGATTAATATGGCATTGGCTGAATACATGCATATGTAGATTATAGACCCATCTGTACCAAGCATATATTCAGGGCCAATATGAGGCTCTTAAACATAATTCGCCTAGTTAATATGAGGTCCTTAAACATAATTTTTTTTACAAGAGTAGCAATACTTAGAAAAGGGAGACAAAAATATGTCACAAGAGCAAGTTGAGACTACTTGTCAACAGTTGAAAAAGAACCTTTGATTAAATATCGATTTTTACTGGAAAGATATGATCTCTATACCAGTTTTCCTCCTTGGCTCAGCTACTTAAAGGATCAACATCCCAATAGGAAGCCTATTACAACTATATTTAAGTTATGTCTTGAGCACAGGTTCGCCAAACTCCAAAGACTAGTCAATCCAAGGTTGGAAAAATTATCCTTCTATTGTTTTAATATATTTTGGCAGGTTCAATTTACCACTAGTTGATCTCCAGGAATTCTAGCGGTGTTATTTCAAAGTTTTATACAAGCTCATCATATACAACCATGGCTAGTGAGGATGGAGAATATTCTAAAGGAAAAGCAGAAATTGAAAACTTCTTAAGTTCCTTAATAGAGCACTAACACATTCATTACACTAAACTGAAGATTTAATAGGTGCTACCAGCACACAATAGAGAAAAAAACAGAGTAATAAAATCAAAATGTAACAAAGTAGTAATTAAGCTTCTAACTTGGTGTTCTTTATACAGCATACATTTATTGAATATAAAGCAGTAGAGATACTGCTTTGCATAATGTTTTTCCAAATAACTTGAATTGAAGATGAATAATATTATGATTGGCTCTAGCTAAACACAAAAACCATCAAGGATCAAAGAACAAGAGATTATGTTAGAGAAGGACAAGTGAAATTATCAGAAGAAATAGAG